TAATTGTATTAAACTGTATTTCATTAGCATCTGAATATAGATCTTTTAAACATTTACTGTGTTTTTAATCTAAGTGAAATGTTAATACTTGTTGTAAGTCCATGTATGTTAGGCTACACGCTAAATAAATAAAATAACTGTTTTTCCCGTCACACCAAGAATGATAAGAACTGTAGAGTTACATGTCTGGGGAGTGTTGAGCTGGGGAAAACTTTTTTTTTTAAATAGCTTTTAAAAATTAGGCAAATATATGAACTCTTTTGAAGGAAATATCAAGTGTCACCTTCCCCCCACAGCATTCCAAAATGAGTAATTCTGACTAAGTGGACAAAATGTGCTGTTGAGTTGGAGAGTAAGTAGAGCGTGCCGAAGGAAGGCTCTCTATAAAGTAATAGGGAGGAATGTTCGATCTCAACCCAGGAGTTAGCAATCTGAACTCCTCAGGTTTTATGACTTTAAGATTCCTCACTTTCAATGGCTTTTACAGTCACCCCATGTGTTGGGCTCTGTTCCTGTGGCCACCTGACCTTCATCTTTGTTAGAGAATGAAAAGAAATGCCGACCAAAATCTTCAGATATATTTTAAACGGGGAAAGACCTGTGTTTGAGGTCCTACGCATCATTCATGAGTGTTTTGATTGATTTGTTAACCAGTTGGGCGCCATCTTGATTCTAGCAGCCTATCTGATCAACTCCCAAGTCAATCTTCACCCCTACATCCTTTTGTATAGATAAAGGGCTAGGTTGATCTGAGGTTGGTGCGACTCTGCTTGGTGCCATTAATTTTGAGAAACTGAACTAATTCGCTGTCACCTCAACTTTTCCTGCTACAAATTAGAAGGAGTGTTATCCCTGGAGCTGTGTAGCTGAAGGCTAAAACATATGAAGAAGGATTGCAAGAACTGGGCATGGCTAGTCTAGAGAAAAAAAGGACTAGGGGTGACATGGTAGCAGTCTTCCAGTATCTCAGAGGCTGCCACAAAGAAGACCGGGGGGGGGGAGGTTTAACCTATTTTCCAAAGCATCTGAAGGCAAAGCAAGGAGAGAAGCAACTGGAATTAAAGAGATACTTCCTAACAGTGAGGACAATTAATCAGGACAGCTTGCCTTCAGAAGTTATGTGTGGTCCATCACTGGAGGTTTTGAAGAAGAGACTGGACGGCCACTTGTCTCAAATGGGACAGGGTCTCCTGCTTGAGCAGGGGGTTGGACTAGAAGACCTCCAAGGTCCCTTCCAGCTCTATTCAGACTGAAGCAGATGGTGTCCTGACGACAGCATCGCTCGTCTTGGCCTCCTTCCCAGCTCCTAAGATTTGTCATCTCTCTACTGCCACTGGCTTATCCCGCCATCAATGGCCTCTTTAGTTGCTCCAAGGAGCAACTTTTGCCTCTCTTCTCTCCCAAAAGACAAACTGGTATCGCTCCCATTGGCAGTGAAGAGCAAATGTTGATAAGAGAAGAACAGAGGCAGAGAGAAGTTGTTGCTGGCTGGTTTTCACCCTCCCTTGTCGGCTCCGTCGAAGGGTGGGATAGCGACAGCAGTGCAGGATTGTGATGGATTGTTCCCCTGCAGCAGCAGGTGGGGTGGGTGGATGGAGGGAGTATTTTGCCAACTCAAGAGGCTTCCCAGAAAGAGATCCTGATTAAGAGGCTGCTGCCCAGTCCACAGCTGGATATGGGAAGGAGGAAGAGGTTCAAGGTAACCATATCCTAGAACTGAGGTGTCAAACTCGATTTCATTGAGGGCCGCATCAGAGTTGTGTTTGGCCTTGGAAGGCCTGGAGGAGCGTGGCCGGTGAGGGCATGGCCAGCTCGGCGTCATTTGTTGAGGCTCTATTTTTGGCCGTGACGGCTTCCTGCAGCCCTCTGCCAGCGAAAATGGAGCTTGGGAGGCCATCGCAGCCGAAAATGGAGCCTGGGAGGGCCATGTACAGCCTTCCCAACTTCTGTTTTCGCTGGCAGAGGCACCCCAAGCCGGTCTTTCACTGTTTCCAGGGCGGCCCCCGCAGGCCAGATGTGGCCCGCTGGCCTTGAGTATGACACCCCTGCCCTAGAATCTCTCAGGATGTATTTAATAGGCTGTAGAAAGTTTGGCAAGATTCTGTCCATTGGACACAAGCAAATAAAGGATTGGAATGGATGGGGTATCATGGTCTCATCTTTGGACTTGAGCTTGACCTGGCAAAGCTACTGCTCAGATTTTGAACCCTAATAATTGTACAGGTAGTCCTCGACTTACAACCACAATGGAGCCCAACATTTCCGTTCGAGCTGAGCAAAACATTCGTTAAGTGAATTTGCCCCATTTTACGACCGTTCTGGCCATGATTGTTAAGTGAATCCCTGCAGTTGTTAATAACAAGAGTTGTTAAGTGAATCTGGCTTCCCTGCTGACTTTGCTTGTCAGAAGGTCGCAAAAGGGGATCATGTGACCCCGGGACACTGCAACTGTCATAAGTACATGCCAGTTGCCAAGCATCTGAATTTTGATCACGTGACCACAGGGATGGCTGCAATGGTCTTAATTGTGAAAAATGGTCATAAGTCCCTTTTTTCTTCTGAAATTTGTGGCAGGTTTTTCCCCTTAAGATATTGTTCTATCTTATCCCTCTCTATTTGATCCCGTCTGTATAAATTTTCATAGTATTTTTGTACAATATGTTTTTTCCCCCCTCCGGAAGGTTTCGGGGGTTTGTGTCCCATTTTCATCATGTAATTGTTGAATTAATTTCTTTTCCCTTTCCTTTTTCAATTTATAAGCTAGCCATCTTCCAGGCTTATTTGCTTGTTCAAAGAAATTTTGCCTAACCAATTTTATTTTTTTTACATATTCCTCCCGATTTAACAAATTCAATTTATGTTTAGTTAAATCGCTTTCTTTTTTTTATTTTATCACTTTGCGGTTCCTTCTGTAAAGTTATTTCCAATCTTTTAAAACTCTTCCTGTAATTCATTTTGTTCTTTCTGTTTCTCTTTATTTCTTCTGGCTATATATGCTATCGTGATCCCTCTTACATAAGCTTTTGCTGTATCCCATAAATTCTGAAGAGTTGTATTTTGATTCTTATTTACTTTAAGGAAAAATTCCATTTCTTTTCTAATCATTTGTAGGTATTATTTTTCTTTCGATATTTGTATATCTAACATCCATTTCCTATTTTCTTTTTTTGTCCTTTCCAAATTATCTGTAAGGGATTATGATCTGCCCAAGTATTAGTCAATATAGCTATATCTTTCACATTGTTTTCTAATTCCTTGTTCATCCAAACCATGTATCTATTCGGGATAAGTCCCTTTTTTCAGTGGTGTTGTAACTTTGAACGCTCACTAAACGAACTGTTGTAAGTTGAGGACTACCTGTATTATTGAGATTGCATGGAATTATCTTACCATTGGTTAATTTTCACCTTAACGTGACAGCTGTTGATCTATCTAAATGTGATATGTTAAATTATGGTTTTCCTTTTATAAGCATAAAGATAGTTTGGGGATTATTTCTTCTCCTATTGAAAAAAATATATCCAGCATTTTAAATCCAGAACTGGAAATACTTAATTAGGCCACAGTAATTTAAGTTCATTTAATTGTCCTTGTTTTCAAACAGCATGATAGACATCTGCCATTGTTTTCAGTGGCACTTAAATTCATCTCATCCTGTCTGAGCAAATCCTAATTGTTAACGTACATTCACAAGAGTTGGCATAATTGTTATGATAGTTTTCACGTGTAAAGCTCAATAAATTAATTAGAAGTGACAACAGCATCTAGTGGAATGTAACCTTTCTGGATCACAATCAACCATTTCAGAGTCATGCATCCAATAAAGCCAACTGCGGTCCACGTATTTTTATACTATAACAAACATTATTGTATTTCAGAATAAAATTATAAAAATGTACTACAACAAGACGCTATAAAAGCTAAAATTAGTTAAGGTGCTCCAAGATTCTTCATGGCTTTTACTAAAACAAACAAACAAACACAAAAGAACGAATGCAGCTACTCTTCTACAAACTATTTAGACATCGTTCACGATAAAAAAAAGTGACAGTGGCAAAATGCATAATTCATCATCTATAAAAATATAACTTCTATTATTTACATAGAAAAGCACAGTCACAAAGAGATGAATTTTTTTTCCTCACCTTGGAAAGCGTGGCAAGGCAGTTTAGTTTCACTGGCTTTGAAAATCATGGTTAAATCACATTGGCCTGCAGCATTTTCTCCAAAAACTCAAGGCAGTGTGGCATGGGGCCTTCCCCTTACTTTATCCCAACAACAACCTTGTAAAATAGACTGAACTAAGAGACTGGGGATGGGTGGGAAACCACTTATTGAATTTATCAATATGTTTCAGGAATGTGCATTAAAATAGGGGCATTTAGACTTTGTGTTTAAATGCCTTTAATTATCTGCATTTTTCCCTAGGAGCAGATAATGGAACCGGACTACTCAAATTCCTTCAAAATCACTGTGTCATAATTGAGCCTAAATCCAAATTTGGAAAATGTATGAGGCTGAAGTATTATTTGGTCCAAACATATAAGTCTTTGTGTATACCAGGGGTCTCCAAAATTGGCAACTTTAGAATAGGAATAGGAATAGGAATAGGAATAGGAATAGAATAGAATAGAATAGAATAGAATAGAATAGAATAGAATAGA